TCTTGGTAGCTGAGGTAGCTTAGATGGTGGTCGTTGGCTTGTTCGCTGAGCTGGGCACAACCACTAACCGACCGCTACGCACAACTACGCACTGATTATGTCACCTCGATTGGTGATGAAAAGTTTGCCCAGCTCAGCGAACAAGCCAACGACCATTGCTCAGTGTTATTGCAACACAACTGATCACGTTGATACACTATCGGAGGCTTCCGAATGAATAAATGGATGAAATCTACGGTAAGCGAGAAGAAGTGAAAGAATCGTCACCACTTGATGTGTCTTTCTTGAAAGTCACCTTTGAGATCATTTGCAAAGAACAGTTTATATGATAACAATACCAATCACTGCTGGTTTTAGACTCCTAGCACAAAAGACTAGTAATATACTGGCGAAGTGCTGGTGATACGATAAACTTCTTTCGTTGGGCAAACAAAATCTTTGGGGCTACTTTGAACAGAAAAATTTGCTAAAATGTCTGGACAAAGCTATTTCAAGTACATACACATTGTAAGTTTTCCTTCCTGCTTACCCCATTTTCCCCGATTTTTTTCTATCTGGTGGAATCAGAGAGGTATTTGCTGAGATTTTTTAATTTCACAATATTGCAAGAAGACCGGTTGGTGTTCAGTGTAAGTGAAACTGTAAAAAATGATAAAACGTTTACACTGCACGACCAGTCGACGAGTACACGGGTACTTCCTAAGTTGTTTTAGTTGACGGGAGTTCTTCCTATTTACAGCAGCAAAACGTCAACAAAATGCTAGGTGTTAGTAGTAGCGAATGGAGGGAGGGTAAGTGTTTAGGAAGAACAATCTTTATTGCTGCGGGTTTCTGACTGCTGCGTCCTATGGGGACCCAGTTGCGTGCAAGGAGTATTGTGAGCTATTCAGCTTGATAACAGATTGCTGGGTCGCTGAGAAGAGTTTTGGAATGCAAGACAACTTGTCGGCAAAATCAAACTCCCCACACTGGGGGTTTGAGGGGTATATTTAAAAGGAATATCGTGAAGTAGTGTTTTTGGATTTGACAATGAGCAGCGCATTCGAAAACAGGTAAGCACGAGGGTTGGAACCTCCTACCATCCCCAGACCATATAATAGCTACCCTAGTCTGTTCCTTGTAATGATAGGTGATGCCTTACCGTATGTTGACCATTTTGTCGACTTTATCAAGGACACCTTGAATGAAGAAAGATAACCCATATTGTTAGTCTGCTGGAACGAGGAAATATCAGCCAAAATATGAACACTTCAAGCTTTGAATTCGAGGTGAAAACATGAAGGTCAACTGATCCGCCAAAACATCTGCAACAGCAAAATTAGATAGAGACACTTTTGGAAAGCTGGCTGTATGCTGAATCCAGTTTGAAGCAGGAAGGATCGAACCTATCCTGAGGTTTTCCCTATTGCCTCTAACTCTGTCCCAGCTGGTGATCTGTCATTATCACCATGAATTCACTGGCTACAATATACTTTTTTAACATCTCAGCTTTCGGAATTCCATAGAGACGTCAAAGCTCTGTATGGCTTCCGATTTTAGAAATTCAGGCAGATTGTCTAGTTTTTGCGATCATACTTTCTTATTTCACGAAATCAAGCGTTTGAACAATTCGACTTTTATATTCCCAGAGTTCAGGGCTAAGTTAGAAAGCGTAATTTTAGGGTTTCATGAAGCTAAGACGTCCAGCTCTAAGCATACATTGGTTACAAGCATCCTGTTCACCGTTCGTTGGCGGTGAAAATCATTCAGTGCCATGAACATTGGTTGGTTAGTGTACAAGAAATTAGACTGCTTGAATGCTTAGTTTTAAGTTTGAAACATGCATCTCGTAAGCCACCGCGTTTAACAAAAACACTTGCCGTAGATCATCCCTTACGGCAGTTTTCACCGGCCCGTTAGTTAAGAAGGACTCAAGCAGCCGAAGGTGCCTATCAGCTGAAAATTCACCGTCGTTCTTTTGTTTGTGTTCTTTGTTCCCGCAGCAACCACTGATGCACCTTTGTTCACCTACCGTGTAGATCGCAGTGAGCCTGAGAAATCACTCGACCTTAACAAAACTACCACCTCACTTCCAAGTGTGATTTGTTGACCGGATCATTCAGCGAACCCTAAGCTCGATAGTATTCAACCTGAACAACTGTATTCTGGGATAACCACTAATTTCTGAGCGGTTGGTTGTTCAGTGTCATTGTTTCTGAGCATCAGTACAAATCTACCCCATTAACTCCATAGCTGATGTCAGTTGGAACTACTGATGCATTACAAAGTAACGCGGCATCGCAAATATGCCGGGTCTACCAGCCGAACCGTTGAGCGGCCCCCAAACACAAAATATAGTTCTGGCTCAGAAAGCTCTAGAGCAAAATCTACAAAATAAGGCGAAGCTCTGAAATGAAGCAGATGTAATTGATGAAGAAATTAAACTGGAAATTTATTCCATGCTCAAAAAAACGTCTTTTGGTTTAGACTTTTCGGGCCAGCGATAGCTATCCTTTGTTTCCGATACAGGGAACGGTTCAACCTCTCGAGACATTGGTACCGCACCGTCAAAAGCAGCCAGGTAATTTGGTGTTGGGTTGACACCATATCCCTTGAGTTGTACTTGCACTGGGTCGATACCTACCATTGACCCGCGACCACGGACTCCGACAGGTTGTTCGAACGTGGATCTATGAGTTGCTGGGGGCAACACACTTACCATACCAGTTTCAACAAATGTAGGAGTAAGATATTCATCCTGATATTCTGATCTTCCCGGAAAACTTGCCTCGATCCCCGCAGCTTTTATCTTATCCTGTGGAAGTTTGTACCGTTCCATAAACTGAGCACGATCCACATGACAATCTGCATCATCTCCGGGGGCCATATAGTTCTGTGTTCCAACAGCTTCGGCTCGTATCCATTCTGGGCCTAAGTGCCATCTGGGGGCCATCGGTGGGCCAATGCTTGTGTCAAGTGTATTTTCCAAAGCTTTCAGATCTTCCGGGTTGCGTTTTTTCATATAGCCCATGTTTCGACGATATCCACCATATCTGTTAGTGATGTCCATTTCATCTGAATACTGCCGTATCCTTTTCTTAGCAGCCTCTGCCAACGGTTCTAGTTCCGTATTCAACCCAACCAGTTCCCGCTCGGCCCACTCGTGAGCTGCTCGAATCGAGGTATCAGTCCAACCAATGCCCTCATCTTGTCCATGTGGTCTAGCCAACTCAGCAGTTGCGCACTGTTCGGTATTACAGTGGGCATTGCCGTGATCCATGTTTGTACGATACCGTGGCAAAAATTGACCACCAGGATCGGTTAACTTTTCTTTTATCCTTAACAGTGCCTGTTTCTGTGTCACGATCTCTCTTTCGGCAAATTTCTCACGCCACTTAGGTGAAGCTTGGCTGAACAGTTCATCTTCTAGTCTCAACTGAGCCAAGTATTCAGCAGTTTTTTGGAGCTCCCTTGCTGTCCTTTGTGTGGACAACAAATTTGGACTTGATGACAGCTGAAGCACAGCCCCATTAAGGTAATCCAAAGCTTCCCTGTATACCGAATCATAGGCTGCTGGGCCTGGTTGAACATGTTGATAGCGTGTAGCCTGATCATGCACCATTATGTGGAAGTTTTTCAAAGCTTTCCAAGAATTTCTCAATCTCCGCCAGGTTGTTTGTTAGCAGGACACTCGCAAGCCTCAGTGCATCACGCTGTGTTTAAAATGGTGGGGCAAAATCGATAATAGCATAATGTGGCCGTCTCACCAAATCACATAACCGACGGCCTGTATGTTGTACTCACGCTTCACCCAATCACGGCTCGTCTGAGGACGCTTGAGTGATTTTCGTGAAATTCGCTGTCATGGCAACAGGGTTTTTCAGTCTACTGTACGCTTCAAAGCCAATGGGTATGGCGGTTAATGAGTGTCACCCAATCTTCCACCTGACAAACTCTGACAGAACACTCAGGAATAAATGCACGAACACTAAAATAACGCACGATAATGAGGAGATTCTACTGCTTCGTAAGCAGACCGACAATTTAAAAACCCCGTTTGTCCTATCCAGGTCGGTGATCTGATGTGTGAACTACGTGACATTCCGGTCTGCATCATTGACTAACTTTTAGGTTGCTGTGCTGAGGTTATGATCAAAACATAGCCAGTTTGTCATCGCCGTCATTAACATAGACTGCAAGATCGATGTTATCAGTGAATCTCACTGTTGCAAGCAGTTACACCTGATTACCTTCGAGGTCTTAGGAAACGGTAACACGGAAGGGATCTAGTCCCAGCATACGACAGGGATACTGAGGCGCCTATACATCGGAATTCCAGGCAGTCTGGAGGGAAACTGACTGCATCAACGCCTCTGACGTCGGCAAGCAGCCAACTCTAGCTAAGCGCAGGGAGTGACGGGGACAGTTCTGGAGAGTGAAACGCAGCACACACTCTTCTACAAAGTCACAGGCTCCTCATCCTGCATTTTGTACCACTATGGAGAGGGCGCAGAGGACATCACTCGTCTTGGTGGGCGATGATGCGGCATGTATGACACAACATACAGCCTAACCTCTTCCGTTGTTGGTGCTGGATTTCTTTCACAATTGAAGCACCTGCATAATCAGACATCGTTTTTTGCTACCTTGTTAAGACTTTCTTGACGCCATCAAAAGCCAGCAACACTTTTGGGACAATGTTGGTCAAAAACCTTTCAGAGACCCTGCCTTCCAATAATAAAACAGCGTAACCCTTAATAAAGCCTTATGTATGTGGCTTTTGAGACTCAGTGAAATGCTGTTTGACTAAAAAAAGATATTGATTGTTAACTTTGACTCGAGTTATGAGGTTTGTGCACCGATTTTTATCAGACAAGTTGGTCAGAACCGACGTAGGTGGAACTCCCAACGACATTCAGCGCTTCTTCTTGGATCGAATAGGGTATGTTAGGAGACTACACATTCTGGAGCATGACTGTGCGGTTTGTAAGTGCGAAGCACATGCTGTAAAATGATATGGTGGTGGTTACTATAGACAATAGTGCCTATTCTTTCCAGTTTTCCTCAATTATCAATATGCATGCTCCAAATTGGTAAGCTATTCACCAGGAAAGAATGCCACTCAAGAGACCTGAGAGATCTTCATCGCTCGTTTCATCAGTCCGTCGGTGAAGTTGAACAGAAGTAGAGATAGCGTAAACGAACTTTTGTATGGAAGTTTTTTGGAAAGCTGTCTATACACTTACATGCCTGGAAGTATGTACATATATTGACTGAATTAGTTTTCAGAGAGGTCTGGTAAGCCGTCCGTGGATTTATTGCTGGGCAACGTTTCGCTTTGATACAAAGGCTTCTTCAGGCCAAGTCAGTTGATCGGGAGTCAGAAAACTAGTGCGTGAGATTTCTTATGACTAGCCGACATGATTACTGCTGCGTGTTGGTCTGGAGTTCATGTATGTTGATTAGTGTGGATGACTGACATGATAGATTGGTTAGGGGAGTTTGTCATGAAGTTGGTTGGATCAGGATTTTGCGACCTTGTTTTTCGGTCTAGAGCACCCTAATGGAATGCTCCTCTCAGGGATTGTTCACGGATTTTGTTCGTCTGTGTGCTTTGGGGTAGCGGATGCCAGAACAATCGGACTGGGGAGGGGATGGTGGTTAATTGGACCTTGCTTGGGTTTCGTACTTCTAGACCCAGACCATTTTACTGATAACTACACACCCATTCGTATCATCTTGACTGATCTAAAACCACTCTCCAGACGTTTGCCAGCTCTACCCACTCTATTGTATTCACGCTGGGATGCTTGGCGATTTCCACCTCGACCATCAGTCACTGTGGTAGGTATCTTAATCCCCGTATCAAAATGTCCACATTTCCCAAATTTATCTTGTGCCCAGTGTCTGGTGCATGCCCTGCTATTGCCGAGTCTTTGACTACCGACCGATATTCATCTATGTTTTCGAGTGGTCTGTTAATGTGTCGCTTACGCTCACCGATTTTGGTGCACAACTCTCTGGCTGTCTGACCTAAGTAAACCTTCGTGCAGTGGTTATATTTCATTCTGTATACACGACCTCTGGTGCTATCAACTGGAGCGTGACCTCTCAACTACGCCAATACTTAGCGGAAAGTCTTCCCCTTCTGGAATGTCATTCTACTTTCAGCACCCTTCTATTGAATTCAGATGTGCCTGTCTCGTATGGGGTAACTGTAATTCCGACCCACTCCTAGTTGGATCTTGGTGGTCGGACCAATATGTTTTATTTGCCGCTTACTTAGACCCACTGGGCATCCGCTGTCCTGAAGCCGCCTTTTTTTTACCTCAAGTTGTGCTGTTCTTCGGTCGACCTTACTTGCTTTCATCTATGTTTTCGAGTGGTCTGTTAATGTGTCGCTTACGCTCACCGATTTTGGTGCACAACTCTCTGGCTGTCTGACCTAAGTAAACCTTCGTGCAGTGGTTATATTTCATTCTGTATACACGACCTCTGGTGCTATCAACTGGAGCGTGACCTCTCAACTACGCCAATACTTAGCGGAAAGTCTTCCCCTTCTGGAATGTCATTCTACTTTCAGCACCCTTCTATTGAATTCAGATGTGCCTGTCTCGTATGGGGTAACTGTAATTCCGACCCACTCCTAGTTGGATCTTGGTGGTCGGACCAATATGTTTTATTTGCCGCTTACTTAGACCCACTGGGCATCCGCTGTCCTGAAGCCGCCTTTTTTTTACCTCAAGTTGTGCTGTTCATCGGTCGACCTCCTCTACTTGCTTTAATAAGTATCGCTGAAACTGTACTAGCATATAGCGCATTTGAGTGTGCTGATGAGTGGTTCAAAATCGTATCACTCTCTGTTGATTTCCAGTACAGTCATTTTTAATTTCCCACCACTCTTGTGTCACGCAGTCAAGGAAGGGTAGTGTACCCGATGTGAACTCCCGCTGCATGCTAAACTCAATGAGAAGGCTATGTGCACATATGACGCTTGTCTGACACTTGACGGAGTGTATAGGATCGATTCAATTCCTACCAGTAGAAAATCTCGTCACCGTGTGAAATGAGCTGGGAGAAGGATATTGACTACGTGGGGATCTATCGAGCATAAGTTCACTTTTTAGCAGCGCGGCAAATTGTACCGCCAGAAATTGCAGTTCTCATTGACTTTATACGTGTATCTGGTCCTTCTGTAGATACCTGGCCTTAATGGAATGTTCGCCAAACGGTAGAAGGCACAACTGATTTCATGATAAGGAAGGTTGAGATCAGAGTTTGTTTCCTGATATTAGTCGTCACGACCATTACGGTGCAACTCCATTTGAGGTGACTTACATCGTTATACACACGTATGAGAAAATGAGGGAATGGTGCAAGAGTTGCTTGGTCAGAAAGTAGAACGGACTGCCTCATGGTCGTAGGGGCTGAATAGCTCATGGACCGGCACACATGCCAAAATCGCACAAGTTTCAGTTGAACACAATTATTTGTTACGTGATCGAATTCCGATGACTTTTAGTGCCAACAGGCTTTTGTATCTTACCATTCGCGAACGGTTAAGAAGCTCCAGGTATATGAAATGTAAGGCGCACCACCTGGTGGTATGACAGGTTCCCGTCAATCTTGATGTGACTGCACTCCTGACAAGCATCATTTGGAGAAATCAGATCGTGTTAGCTTATCCTGTCCCGCGACCAATATGTGATGCCAGACAAAAGCATACAAGTGGGTACACACCAACGTCGCAGTAACGTTCGTCAATTTGTCTTTCAAGTTGGTCCTGGTGATGGGGCTGGAACCTAAACTGAAGCACAGATTATTGACTATGTAGTCGTGTCAATACAGTACTTTAGCATCCTACTAAGGTTTTGAGTCGAATCACCGTACAATGGGTGCTCGATGTAAAGCACCTTTCCGAAACGTGCCATTCAGCTTTGTTTTTAAGCACTGCATAGTTTGGAGAGCTCAGAGTGTCATTTAGTAGTAAAGTTGACCAAAAATTTTAATCCCTTTTCTGCACATTCGACAAAACATAACAGTACCACCAAAACATTCAATTATTTGGCCGTTACTGGTCCCCACAGATGGTTGAGATCAGTTGCTTCACTTTTAGTTCCCAACCCAGAGCGGTCCTAGACGCACTGTCATGCGTGATGAGCTTGCATCAGTGCAAGTCTCAGCCATACAGCCGATTGAGGCCTGCCATTTGTAGAATCCGAAGAAAAGCGCACGATTCGTGCTGGTAACTGAATAAGAGAGCAGTAAAATGATCGTTTGAGCAGTATGGATTGAAAACATAAACTACTTACCCATTTTTAGTGGACGACAAAACGAGACGATTTTATCTCACTATGGTCCTGGCTAATGATTAGTGCAACAGGACCGATACACCCATCAATTGCCTTTTTATTCTAACCGCCCTCTTTTGAATTAGAACATTTCACCTTTTGCTATCAATAGCTGAAACTCAGAAAAGCCCCTATTGCTTGCTATGAGGCTCCGAATACCTACTGAGACCACAGTTGGCACCCAGTCAGTCAACTATCCCGATACAGATTATCCACACGGATTAAACTTGTGATGTTTCAAGGAAACAAATATAGCGTCCTCGATCACTGTGTGACTTTACGCCTGACGCGAACAAGACAGGACCATTTAAATCTAACGGAGGTTAGTGGATGATCAGAGTATTAGGTGGTGGATGTAGAACTCTGGTCAACGGGCACAGTGTGACGCAGCTGACCCAACGGAAAATTTTGGTGGACAATGTCGCAGCAAATTTCACTGTGAACAGTTCAAAGAAAATCAGGGACTTGAGGTATAGCGGGTCGCTATGAAACTAGAATAACGAATTGAACCGGGTAAGCTTTTTTACTTGAGTGTTATATATTCGGGGGAAGTGTAATGAGATACTTCATGTCTGAAATACACAGTCACTATGCCTCCATCGTTGACTGTCTGCGGCGCAGACAGACAGAAGTATATCCCTCCCGTAATTACTTAAGGGAAGGACAAAATGGTGTTCACTGACGAGTAAAAGTTCGGTTTCGTCTATATCATTATCGATACCAGAAAAGAGAAGAGGTCACACTGGTTTCAGTTTTAAATTTAATCACCCTCCAATACGAATGAATATCCTCGGTTCATGAAAACCCCGTAACCATGGGCGCCGTAGCTCGTCGACCAAAACAAACCAGCTATAGTTAAAGCATGCGTCCGATCAAACGAGACGGACAGACGGCCGAAAGCCTGGACACGACTAGAATCAGCATGCACCAGGTTCACTAATTTCAGCTAGATAACTGGAGTGTAGCAGAGGTAGCGGTGTCAGCGCGATGAGTACCTTAGTGACCGCCCCTCCCCCATTTGAGGTGCCTCGAACAGTCAGCCAATTAAAAATAGTCAGCCAACTATGCAGTTTTACCGTCAGCAAACGAACACGGTCAATGACCGTGTTCCTGTGACGAAATCCCTCGGGGTACAGTACCTTACCGCTTCTTAAAAAGGTGACCGACAAAGTTCGACATGAAGAGCAGCAAGCAGACCACTGAAACAAGTTTGTAACTATATATGAAGGCACATCCAATCAAGCACAAACACCAGAGAGATAACACCTTGGTGGAGGGGTCGCACCGACCACACAAATTTCACAGTCGTTTTCAGAGTAGGTTTAAAATATTTGAATTGCAAAACACCGAACTTATTAAGCAAAGACTACACCTTCTAGGATCACTTACAAACAGGATTCAAAACAAACAAGCCACGAAAAAAAACATGGATGAATAGGGATACATGCAGATAAATGGAAGTGGCACTTCAGAGACATGCGATTTGGGTATGAGCACAGTTGGTCACAATCGGTAAAAGTGCGTCATAAATCCAAGCACGCTCTGCCTGCTAACTGGAAGAACTGCTAAATATTTGCAACATATCCAGGATCTCGAGGGTACAAGATTGATAAGTAGCGACGCAGTGAACTCAGTTGCAAACTCTGGCGTTGCAGAAGTTGTTGCAGTTATTATCACAATCGTTCAGCTGTAGCACCCTTTCGGTGTCTAGCTGCCATGCCTCATGAAGGAGGCACGAGGGCTGGGGTACTGCCACGTTGCCAAAACCTAGACAGGGGAAGTCGAGAAACAGAGGTCGGGTTCGAACCACGGACCTTCCGGTCAGCAAATTCGCGCTCTAACCACTTGGTCCATCTCGCAGTTATCATACCACACTAACTCACTGTCCTCTATTTTCGTCACTTGTGTAATTAGTGTAAAACAGTCCTTTCTACTTCACGATACATCGCCAGTCACCCTGCAAACTCGGAACACGCATTTGACTGGCAGATATGACCTTCAACAGCCGGGGCAAGGCCACGATCAATACTGATCGACTAGGTGCAACCCTCAAATATGGTAGAACATAACAAACGCAAATTGAGATTCTCTGCGGGATTACAGAATGCTACAAATTGCACAGCAGAACATTCTGAAGATGAAATACGTTACGAAGACAGAACAAATGAGGAAATGGACGAGCGGAGTGAGACACAGTCAGAGAGACCTGCGAACTCTTTATCACTGGTTATGGCAAATGTGCTGATCATTCCATTGTTTGTCATACACACCGTGAAGTACGCACTAAATTTTCTACTCCGACCTTTGATGAAAGCAACCAAGCCATGGCGTCGCAGAATGAGAAAGCAAGGTACACGTTTGTGGTGTTCAATTCAAGAAACTGTCTATTCAGTTTATTGTTATCTGGAATTATCCATACGGCGACGAGTGGTCCTTCCTATTTGTATGTACCTAATCAACAAATGTTACCGCTATTACACCAGTAAAATGATTGACGGAGGGAACCAGTTCACGTTTTTGAAACATACACGATACGCGAAAATAATCGGACGAATGCTCATGTGGTACTTGAGAGCGTTGTATTTATGCGTGAGGATAATAAACTCGAAAATGCAACTAGAGCAGATCAGTGAAGGTATACAAAAGGTCCGCCACGGAGTTGTGTCAAGTTTGCGTTGCACCTGGGAGGTAATCATCCAAATGTGTGACATAACCTTAGTTGTGGTGAACATTGTCCGTGTATGCTGCAGTGTCCTAACCACGATAACCGATGTGTTTTACTTCCTTGCTCGACTAGTATCGGTCAGTGAAAAATTACTGTACTCAGTCGATGAAGCTATCTATATGATACAAAACATTATTGGGAAATCTGATGAAGACTCATCAAAACAGAAGGAGAACTGAGATGACACAGATGCGAATGGGCAGTCAACTGTCAAAATACTGACGGACAATTGACACGTCGGAAGTATTCCTCGTAACTGACCAACTGGAACCAATGTCCACAATAACATTTGACCGGATCACCTTTAACAAGTTCCATCCAGTTGATGGCATCGGCCACCGGCTCGCCTGGATAAAAGAAAAGTGACGAACTAACAAAACGGAAGTGTCCCGAACAACTACGACCTTGAAAACTCGGTATGCGACGAAATAACAGACTGAAAAACAAGCAGGGGAGGCCTATGAACAAGAACTTCAGCTGAACACATTCCAGAAAACTGGACAGCCAACATTGTTTCACGAACTATGACCAAACAGTGCTACAGAAATCCAGATTTCCGTTTCCACACAAACATACGAAGGATCAGTCTGGTTTGATGCTAACACTATAACCATTGCAAAAGAGGTGCTACAGTACTATTAATGTCGAACTAAGTCTGAGGAACCTGTGTAAGTCCTAGTGATTCACAGACTGAGAACGCCGAAGTCGCAGACTGGAGCGATGGAATGACAAGGTACCGAAATGCCATCAATCGGAATTTGTTTAGACGTACAGTTGGTAAATTTTTCCGTATTTGTATTTTCTCACATGTCTAGCAGGCGCAGCTACTGATAAATACAGAACCAACTGGAATTTTTGAATCAGTTGATTTTGCGATGAACTGAAGACGGCGGTGGCTGAGCAACTGAAGACTAGCAAACCGCACTTTCACTCTGACGACAGAGTTCACCACAGTCGGCCAACTCGGCAATCCGCATAGAAACGAGTCATATAAAAAATTATTTCAAGAGTGCCGTGCACCCTGATGTGGGAAACTTTAGTATACTCATGTCAAGCAGGCAACTGCGTGGAGTTTTTCTTGCGGACGGGATATCTTTGGACAACGATGGGTACATCAGTCCATCCGCTTCAAAGGTTTCCTGTATTCCAAGAAGCGTGTGCCAAAAACAGGCCGATGGAACACAAGCACGCGAAGCAGCAAATTGCAGATGCCGTCCCGCGTGATTCTCGGGTCCGTCTGTTCACTCTCTCCTATAAATCTACTAGGTCTGGTTGGGTCAGTCCCTGTGTGAAGCTCAGGTAGCTTCGTTGATGCCTCGCATCAGATTTATCCACACGCGCTGGTTGGCGACCAGGCTTCCGCAGATGAGAAACCTAAGTTGAGCCCATGGCTATCGGATATGAATTGAAGCCCGGCGAGTTAGCACCGATCTAAGTCTGTGGTTGACCGCCCCAATATAAAGGTGTGAAGCAACCAGATGGGCACACCGGTACAGGAGAAAATGTCCGGACTGCCGGCGTTTTGCCTACATTTGAAGCTCTCATTAACGCCAGGAAAGCTGTCTCAACAGCAAAGGATATCACTGCGTAGAAAAGGCAGATAGCAAGGAGTGACTAGTCGGTCTGATGAGCAACGAAAGTCCTATATATAGCAGCGTCCTTATAAAATTAATGAGNTGAACAAGTAGGATGCGGAATGCCGACACAAAACATGGAGCAAAAAACCGTTAACAAAAGCGTCTTAAAAGATGCATTATAGGCTAAAGAGAAGCTAAGCTATCTGCTTCGACTATCCTTTAGTTTAGAACGATCTAACAATGGATCAAAAAATCGTTCAGCTGTGGGAACCTTTCGGTGTCTGGATGCCATGTCACCAGAAGGAAGCACGAAGGCTGGGAAACTGACAGGTTGCCCAAGCCTATACAGGGGGAGTCAAGAGGCAGCGGTCGGGTTCGAAACACGAGCGTTCCAGTCAGTAAATTCACGCCCTAACCACTGAGGCACCTCTCCACCCCATCTTTCGATGAAGAACGAAAGTCTCAAGCAGATGAATTGACAAGTGTTCTCATCCGGAAGATGAATGACCAGAATACCTCCGCGCTTAGAGAGAGTGAGCAATATGGCCAAACTCGCACAGAGTACTCGTTACAGGCGGAAGCTTTTCACGAGCATAAACTGATGCAGGATAGGCAGCGGCGATTAGAAATATATGACCATTGATTGGAGTTCTATGATTAATTTGAGTCTTTTTTCGGAACAGCCGAAGTCTTCTAGGTGGTACGTAGCACGCACCGCCACCCATGGAGATGAGTGCTATATGCCCTGTTGGAAAGACTGTGTCCACGAACCACGGCTTAGAATGTCCGAATGACGAAAAGCCTTAGGCGAAAGATTAAAAACAAAGTCATTCGAAAACCTTGCGTAGATATAAACACATGAATACAGACTTACGACTGGGGTTGACTTACATACACAACCTATCATTCTGCTAGAAGCGTCCGAAGCGACCAAATTTGGTGAGGACGCGGACGTCATCACCGGCATTTTAACACGCTTGATCTCGTATGGGTCCTAGATTGTGAGTGAAATGAGGAAATGCTATTCGCCCACTTGAGTTTCAATTAGATGTGCAATCAAGTTGTAATCTTTGTTTTTTACCGCCTCGGTGAGAATGGGAAAGACAACTATGAAGCCAATATATGGTATAGAGGTGGCACGAACCATTATCGGATCCAGTCGTCTTTTTGAAACATGTCCGGCCAAAAATACGCATCGGATGCAGTCGCTGTGAGCATCGAGATAAGTTCCACAGCATTGTAACCTGTAAAGACAAATGACCTATTATTTTGTAGGGAACAGGAGGTAATGCAAGAAATATCAAAACACCGGGTCAGTGCTTTTTCAAAGCATACGGTATAGATATACCTAATCATTTAGAAGAAAAGGAGCATAAATTTAAAATCCACAGCGTTCAAAAAGAGGAAAAGTCAAGAGACCGTACCCTTCGGAGAACATCGGGACGCAAAACGATAAATGTCCCGAGTCAACATTAAAGCTTAAGGTGGCCGTACGGACCAACGCCTTGATGCGGCGATCGCATAGGCCTAGTTGTTCATGTGCTACATGAGTTAACAGTAATAATACGTGTTCAGCCGTAACACCCTTTTGGTGGCTACTTAACGTGCCACCCGAAAGGAAGCACGAGAGTAGTCGAGGTGCCGAGTTAGGGTTCGAACTATAAGACTTCAGGTCAGTATATTCGCGCTTTAACAACTGAGCCATCTCGAGCTACAACAGCTACGTCCCATGGACAGATATAGACTAGCAGCCGATCCCCATCTTGGTATTCTGTATTCTGGGGAAAGGGCGAGATCACTAGGTGGTTAGAGGGCGAATTTATTGACTGGAAGGTCCATGGTTCGAACCCGAACTCTGCCTCTCGACTTCCCCTGTTCAGGCTTGGTCAGTTTGGCACTATCCCATGCTTCGTGTTTCCTTCAGGTGGCATGGCAGTTAGGGGTCGAAAGGGTGCTACAGCTGAACGATTTTTTCTGTACACAGGTGGGTCCAGAAACAAAGATATAGGAAAAGGACAAATATACTATCAGCGAAGAAAAATCAGACATGTTTAACAAAAAACCCGTATCCCAGGGACTCTTGAAAATGAACATTATCTACTTGATACGATTTGATTAAGTTTGTCGACAGAAGCTTGGTAATTCAGTTCGCATTGTTTTTTTAAACATGAATCGTATTCAGTTGTATATTTGTTCGAGCTGCGACGTCAATCGAATTTCAACGCTACAAGTTAAGGGAGGGGATTGAATGAGCCATGTAAAATAAGACGAAAAACCAGTGCAGCAGGTCAAAGGTAGGAAAGAGGTTGGACTGCCGTTGTTGGCGTCGGCGAACCAACATCCCAGTCGTTGACCCGTCACGAGAAGAACAGACCTTACCATAGTGCGACGGTTTGTGCACCTGCGCGACTTATCGGGCTATACTGGGGTGCGTGCGTGTGACGCTAGTAGAGTCTTTCGCAAGAGGCTGACCAACATATTCTCCTGGCCTCCAGGAGGGTGGAACATGTGTGGCGGCTTGTTCTTTAAAGGTTGAAATGCACTCGCGTCTACTGCCAAACATCTCATGGCGGCAATGCAACAATGCGGTGACACAGCTGAACGATTTTTTCAGAGGGCAACCAAAATTGGCCAAAGCATCACAATCATCAGAGAGAGAGAGAGAGAGAGTGAACAAATCTAACAATCCTGGTAATTATAACGCGTCGGATGACAGCATTGCTGACGAAGAGAATGATAGAGTATCTGAGGCCCGTTATGCTTTTTCACTACGTCTGGGTTCGACGGGACATTAGTCTGTCAGTGAAGGCCAGAGTCTGAAACGCGGCAGCGCGTACGGTGTGCGTGGAAGACAAGAGTGTTAGTCTGAGAAGAATCGGTGATAGTGCCCGTTTTCAAACAGGGGGCGCGTAGTGAGTGTGATGACCACAAGGAGATCGGTTTGGCTTCGGTCGTAACGAGACTGTTGGCGTCAATTGTGCTTCGTCGCCTTAAGGTGGCTCGTGAGATACTGACTCGAGAGCATCAAGCGGGATTTCGGCCTGGTAGTGGTTGCGGTGACCAGATCTTCACACTTCGTCAGATGCTAGAACAAGGTCATACGTATAAGCGACCCACAATCCTAGTATTCCTGGATTTCCGAGGCGCATTCGACTCGGTTGATCGATCTGTTCTTCTTGAGACGCTTGCCCACCAAGGAATGCCCTGGAAGTTTGTAAACATAATACTCTCTTTGTATTCTCAGATTTTCGGATGTGCGAAAGTGTACGGGGAGCTCTCCAAAAGCTTCCGTACACAAAGCGGTGTCCGTCAGGGATGCCCACCCTCTCCATTCGTTTTCAACTTCGTGATCGATGAAATAGAGACGAACGATGGAGGATCTCCTAAACCCTGGTGTTCAAATAACCTGTGAAGAAAGCCTTGTTGGTTGTGCAACGGGTACTTCCATTGAAGAATGTGTCCAGCACCAGAAGCTGCGTTGGTTGGGAAATGTGTTGCGTATGCAGAAGAGAGTGCTGTATTCCATGCCCAATTCAGAGTGGCGTAACCGGAGTGGTGGCCAACCCTTGATTTGGCAGAGGAGTATGAAGCAAATCACGAAACGCTTGGGTGCTGTCGGTGCTACTCGCCTTCCAGGATTGGGACCGTGCCTGGTTGGAAACACTACAAGATATGGCTGCCAACTGATGTCAGTGGCGTTCTTGTTGTCAGTTTCTATCCAGATTGCCTGAGTGAGCGCCTGGAGGTATTGGCACCTCGGAATGATTATGGTAAGCTAGCACTAAGTCCCTTCCCCATCCACCTTTACTCTTTTCTTTACAATAAGGCTTTTAAATGAATCATGATTGTACGGCAGTGAAACATCGGTGTTGAACACTGATGTCATGCTGTCGATGATGATGATGTGCTTGTCTCTGACCGATGTCTTCTATATACTGCAGGCATATCATGAGAACATAGAATTAACAGTGCTGGTGTACGGCGAGTGGTTTTTGGCAACAGATCAGTGGCTTGTCCCATTAATGAGTCGATTCGAGTGCACACACTAAGCGGACTCGGCCATGTTTTCTGTACGTCAAGTAATCGATCGCCTCTAGTTGCCCTGTTCGTTGGAGTAGGTGAACCTGGTGACTAAGGACATAAAAGAATATCTTGGTCTTGTTGTCTGCAAGGTTGGGGCATTAGACGTACTACAACAATGGTTGGAGACGCTCACCGAAACGGAGATGTCATAGGTCTGAAGCATCGGAGGTCAAAGGCCTAAAGAATTTCCGGATCTTCCACTCAAAGTGGCCAAGTCACAGTCGTAGATTGTAGAGTGCCTATGCACATGAAGTTACTCAAAAACCTGACGGAGTGCGGATTTGCGGTCCAACTTGGTGGTGGTCTCCAGCTTGCTATCCTCGGGTCATTTCTCTAAGCGCTCTGAAGACGAGTAAATAGTCTGCAGAGTTGACCTAATTCCCCAGAGCGAAAACTTTTTCCAAAATCATTATCGCAGTCGCTTAAGACAGCCTCTTTTACCCGAATAGAGGCGCACAATTTAGGCGAGCACTGACCGTTGTTCTGTTTTCTGAGCCTAGCAATTTAGTTGTGAATGTTTTGTCACCAATCCAGGTGACATCATCAGTAGATTCGAAATCGTTCAAGGTAGCACCCCGCACAATTTAGGCGAGCACTGACCGTTGTTCTGTTTTCTGAGCCTAGCAATTTAGTTGTGAATGTTTTGTCACCAATCCAGGTGACATCATCAGTAGATTCGAAATCGTTCAACGGTAGCACCCTTTCGGTGCCTAGCTGCCACGCCCCCCGAACGTTGCACGAGGGCTGGGATACTGCCACTTTACCCAAGCCTAGACACGGGAAGTCGGGAGGCGGAGGTCGGGTTCGAACCACGAACCTTCCGTCAGTAAATTCGTGCTCTAAGCACTTGGGTCATCAGTAGATTAATGTCAATACAATTTGGGCCATCAGCATTCCACAGAGAAGGCAAGAACTAATAGAATGTGACCTTCATTCTAAAACAGGGTAAACGAGAGGTCGCCAGGACAGGTAGCTAGTAAAGCTTGAAGGAGAAAAGACAGTGGCATAGTTCCGAAGCCAATGGAGGCTTCAAGTTTACTCATCAAAATTCTGTTGCAGATCGGGAATCTGACTGAACAGCTGCAGGTGATCTATTGGACTGTTGTTGACTATTCAGCCCAATGAATGTAGCATGGTTTTGATAGATAAGTGAAACGTTTCTATGGGCGATTTTCTCGCTCACTGGGAACCTCTTTGGGTCTAGTGCGTGAATCAGCTGGCGTAGCTTACGCGAACCCTCGGGATTTTTCGCCACTTTCACCTTCGTTTTCTGGACCTATTAAGGTTCTCGATCCGCGTAGATACCTTTTTCACCTGACTTATGACAGTTCGTCCAGTTATGCTGTACTCCCGACCAAAAATATGTATCTCAGCCTGGAGCAATTTTAGTGTTGCTCGAGATTCAGTGCCAAGATATGATTGATTGCGTCATCTCACAAGCAAAACATCCTGCAACTTTACTGGATTGCAGAAAAAGTTTTCCATTGAGGTTCGATATCAGAGGGTTGACTGTCCCAAAGAGACTTCAATAAGTGGTTTTAGTAGGTTTGCTCCACATCAGGGTCCGACGGCTCCTAACTGGTCGGGCGAGAGATGCGCAAATTGCGCGCCTCCGAAAAATCGGACAGGGAGATAGCAGGGGTAACCGTCCACACAGGCGCTTCAGAACGACCAGCAATTAGTACTTGATCTACTGCAGCCAACGGTCTATCTTCATGAGGCCGCTATCCACGCATTTATATCTCCGGTAGCTACAGAAACATCTGAGCACTTAGTCCACCTTAACAAAATACTCAAGTCGTTATGAAAACTGTCTTTGAGTGTCAGGGCTACAGTCGGACGGGGGCTAAGCCGATATAATAAACAGTCAGCGAATATCGGCCTGTTTAAGGGACGCAGTGTAGTATGCACGCTATGGAAGCACCAAGGGACAGTGATTCTCCGAAGGCGGGCGTTCGCGACAATTTCTGTGGATGGAAAACACAAAGGAAGTTTATGAGACGAAGTCCAATAAGCAAGGTTGCATATAACCTACATTTACACGTAAATCAATCAAACTAAAGA